TTGACCTCCCCACTCATAATTTTCTGGAGCCACCACTGAGCAGGAGCTTGACCCTCTGGGCCTTGGGCAGGGTCATTTACTGAGAAAACACAGAGCGAAATCTTTATTTAAAAAAATAATTTGGAATGACTATAGGGCCCAGCACACTCGATCCGAAGCTGAACAGTCGACTCCCAGCCACGTGCTGGTGAGAGGTTTCTTTTTGCATGTTTCATAGTTCACAAGATGCATGGTGCAGAGTTTCTGGCTAACCACTCCCGCCTCTGTACACATCACAGCACAGGGTTCTTACCACTGGAGTCTTCACTCCAGTATCTGCCAATTGTTCACAAATCTGTTGGGTCTATAGTGCCATGTTCAGCACGTTCCTTCATGCACAATGTCTGTGTGCTCTCCATCCATGGGTTTTTGACCAGTTGACTATCTTTACAAGTGTCTGGAAGAGTCGCATAGATGGGCATACTTTCTGACTGCCTCAGACAACTTCTCCTCAAAACTTTCAATGCTCTTTGGACGCACAACGGTCAGCTTCCTGATTCAGAGTAGTTGAAGCAAAATGCTACCATTGTTGTCTGAGGGCTTTACTGCATGAACACATACGCCCATGAACTTCTGACCAATCACACAGTACTCTGGGCATTTGCCTGTGAGAAAAAGTTCACCCTGGGCCTTGGGTTGAGAGAGGGTGAAGTTATGTGAACAAAATGGTGCGATTTTCTTCATGTAACTTCATAAATGAGATCCAATTTTGCAGCTATGGATGGAGAATGTGGACACAAAGCATTTTGGAGAAATTCGAACTAATTGACAGTCCTTATTTAAGAACTTCCAGCTCAAAGTATCTGAGTTAGGAATGTAAATTAACAAAATTGGGTAATTTTACAGCAAGATGACATCCATAAAGAAATTGAAAGCAGCAGACGAAATCTATTAGCAAGTGTTGATCTTTTGTTTAAGCTGCTGAGTCAAAAAAGGGATGTTTTCATAGCCTCAGAATAAGTATAGTTCATATGACCTAACCACTATTAAAATTTTATATCAAGACATTTAGATTTGCATTAATTATTGGCATTACCAGCAGCTGAAGGCAGACGTCTAGTTTGCAGTAATGCCGTTTTCAACAGATAAAACTGTAGAAGCCAGTAACAAATACTTTTTTTCTCTCTCAAATTATTCTCTCCTGTAAATATGGTGGGTTAAACGCAGTGTTGTACAAAGTACCACAAAATGATACTTGAGTAAAAGTACAAGTATCTTGCCAAAAAATTACTTTGGTATAAGTTAAATTCTCCTTCAGATCTAAATTTCTTTATTACTCTATCAGTAGTAGTGATTGTTAAAGTACTACAGTAGAATCTTAAAATATTTACATTTCCGTAAAGCAGACTTTGACACAGAATTATCCAAAACTAGAAGCACTCAGAGTGCAAACCTCCGCCAAGACCAATTTCCCTCATCCTGTAAGAGTTAATGCGCAAAAGCAGAGATGGAAACACATTTGTCGAATAAGTTCTGACATAGTGAACATTTAAGCAGGCAGTATGCACGGAATTTCTTCCTGGTGGAGTCCAATGTGAAAATTTTTTTAAAACAGTCAGACTCGTCACCCAATGTTATTCATCGTCAAACTGGTGTCAGATTACGCTCCTAAGTTTTCATCAGTCACATTCCACCCTGTAAAACGTCTGTTTTGTCCCCTTTTTATGAGTTTGTAATGGTTTGACTCTCTTCATAAAGTGCTTCCTGCTACAGTCGGCTCTTGAARCGAGTGGGTTATTTTGTACGCATTTATTTATTTATTTTTTGAAGCGAGTGATTGGAGCAAAATACAGAGTGTGAGCGCTTTCAGCACAAACACTCCCACGAACTTCAGAGCAATCACACAAAAAAAGTTCTTATATGGAGGGGTACCTGACAAGGTTGATCAGCTGTTCCGGACAAAGCAGGTTTTGCTGGGCTGCAGCAGGACCCTCCTCCCGCTGTCGGAGTCCTGTTATTCCCGTAACGTGAAGAGAATCRCATTTCTTTGTCTGCATCTCCAGACAGCATGTAACATCGCCAGAAGTAGTTAATAACAGAATAATCACAACTTTCCTGATAGTACACATCCTGGGGTGTGTCCGTCCTCGGTCCATCTCCAAAGCCTGTTCAGAAGCTTCTCTCCACCTGCGTACCGACAAACTGTTTTGGTTGTTTTGGAAATATGGTGTGTTTGAGGAAATGGGGAAAAATAGGTTTCATGGTGCAGTCACGCACTTCCTGGTCATAAAACTTTCTCTAAATGCGCACCAAATTTGTAAGGTCATGTTCACACCTGCACTATTTAGTCCGATTTAATTGAACTCTAGTTCATTTGCCTGGAAAGTCCGGTTTGTTTGGGGAGGTGTGAACACGTAATCGAACTCTGATTCGGACCAAAAAAGCGAACTCTGGTCCGCCTGAAAACGTAGGTCTCGGTTCGATTGAAACGAACTCTGGTGCGGTTCGATTGCATGTGTGAACTCTAAGCGGACCAGAGACCGCTCCAAAAGCAGGAAGCGGACTATATTGAATGACAGTCTGAGTAAAAACAGCATTAAATTTACTTATATGGTGTAAATACCTTGGTGGACGACTGTATAAGGTGGACATCATGACTATGGAGCTGGATGTGCTTCTGCTCGATTAACACGGAGCTTCCTCAGCCGCCTTGTGTGCAAAACAACATTYTCCRTGGTTCCGTCTCATCTTCCTCTCATGCTGAGCTCATTGTTGAAGACTTATTTGTTTAGCACATTTGCCAAAAACAAAAAATAAACCCTATAACCACTAAAATGTAACATTACTATTGTTTACATTTTGTGAAGAAGGAAGTTGCGCTCCATGTCTTCTTCTGAGGTTTTCATGTTGATTCCTTTAGTGGTTCTTGGTGCAGCGCCCCCACAGGTGAGGGCGGGAACAGGTTGTTTACAGGGTTTAGTTCGGTTGAGAGTGCGCAGTGTGAATTCAAACTGCACCAACAGAAAATGTAAACAAAGCTTGCAGTTTTGGTCCCCAATCGAACCGAGTCTACCGGACTATCAGGTGTGAATACGACTTAAAAATGTGCACATTATGGCAATTATTCATCATTAAATATGGGTTTAATGTTACTTTTTACAAAGTTTGAAGTCCGTGCTGTCCAATCCAGCTCACTTTTTTTACAGAAGCCCTGTGAAAGCATCACAGCTTTGCCGATCTCAGAGTGTTAAAAGAAAAAAAATTCCTGTATGCGCATCGTGATCCGGAACATCACCAAAATTTAATGGTGTTCCTGGGCCCAGTACCCACATGTGTTAAAAATGTCATTACAATCCGCCCACAAGTTTTTGATTAATGTTGTCCACAGACCGAACGACAGGCCGACAGACAGACATACATGACCGATAACATTACCTCACCCTTGGCGGAGGTAATAAATAGTTAATGACTGTTCACCTGGAAAAACTGGAGTGTATGCTTTATTTCAACATGCTGTTGTCCTAAATACAACCATGTTTGGAAGGCACTAGTGAGACAGGTTCAGATGTTTATCATTTAAATAAGTAGTATTTTTGTCTCATACCCAGCTCTAAACTGGCTTCCTGAACAACTATTTAAGATTATAATCATATACCAGTTGACTCACCTCTAACCTATGTTCAGTGGAGCAAAGAGCAGCTGAATTTAACTGTCTGCCTTCATAAGTCTTCAGTCTTCTGTGAACTTATGAACTGACGTTTTGTCATTTTTACAACACTTTGAGCTTTTAGTTACAGTGGCACAGATAAAGTGTTGTATAATTTAAAAAAATTCAGTTGGTTTTCTGTGCTATCTTGTACTTTGCATTTTATCTGATTTAGTCTGGGACCAGTTTGAGTAATGTGACACTCTGAGGTGTGTCTGTGAACGTGCACAATACCTCCACTCTGATGTGAACGTTAACCAGTGGCCAGTGTTTTTTTTTTTTTTTAGCTTCTACTTTTAACTTCTCGTCATTTGAACTCGCAACAATTGTTCTTTGTGTGTATGATAATTTATTATTTAGCAGAAGTTCTTTTTTTTTCACTCAACAGCATGACACACACTGGTAGTTTGGTGTCTTTCATATGGTTTTGAAACGTTTCTTTGTTTTGTTTTTAACTGAAGTAACCAGCTTTGTATTAATTATTCATGGGATTCCTCAGACTGTAAGGTATGTTTTTCAAGAACTATTGTACAGATGAACTGGGGTCCTCATTTTCAACCAGTTTGTCCAGTTCTGTTTGGTTCCTTTGAGTCAAAGATATTTGTTTATGAACTGCAAAATACAAATGATATGCGTAGGGCAGCCATTGGTTACAGTGTTAACAAGGACTTTGTCTTCTTAGGTTGGTGTGACTTTGTTTCTGGCCTCACAGTATTTAATAAGAATAATTACTCAGACAAAAGTTGTCCAAACAAGACTGTAAATAGGGTGGTTTTTGAAGACCTTTAAATACTTAGTATTAAATTTTTAAAATTACTATTATCAAAAAGAAAAAATATGTAGGTCCTCTGGATGGGTTCTTCTTTAGTGAAACGTTTTGTCTCTCCTCTAAGAGACTTCTTTAGCCTTCAGATTAAAGAAATCTATCTTTTTTTTAAAACCTGGATTAATGAGTTTCATCAAGACTTAAATTACTATTATGCTATTTTTTTGTCTTAAAATTTAAACATGCTTAACTTAGTATTGTAGTTTTGTTTTTGAAAATTCTTTCTAACCATTAAATCTGTAAATTCCGGTACAAATGGGCCCAGCAGTAACGGTTGCGTGTAATGCTGCAGAGGACTGTACATTTGGACATGTGTTGGACAGCTTTTGCTGAAATCAAACACTGTATTTCGGCACTCTTTCTTGTCCTGTTTGGTCTTTTCATCCTTTTATGAGACAAGTGAATGAGCCTTAACATAATGTTTGTACAGTAAGATGATAGCCGCGTCCTCTGCTCTCACCTCAATGCCTTTTTGTTTTCTTTCTGCAGGTGTTCTTGGAATCATCGGGCTCTACCTTCTGTTTGGATATGGAGCCTCTCTACTCTGCAACCTGATTGGCTTCATTTATCCAGCATACTTCTCGTACGTATGACGGCAGCTTTATTTTGGTGTCAAAACACACTTTATACATATATAAATTTTCATTTTGTTGAGTAAAACAACATTTCTAACCCATATTTTTATTACCTCCGGAGGTCATGTGGGAAAAAAATTGGCCACACTTTTTTTTTTTTTGGTCAATAAGGGTCACTGATCCTTACAAATCCTAACAACCTTTAAATGTTGTTTTCAGTTTTCAGAATTGTTTCAAATGTTCCCATAAACTCCAAATCAATTTATTACCACTTGTTTTCCTCTGGAAAATTTTACTCACTGATGAAACTCATAAATAAATGTTTTTCATCCCTTCAAGATTTCCTAAAACAATACACACCTTTCAGTTATGGTAGTGTTATACTAGTCCACAAGGTGGTGCTCTGCTCTTACATTTGAATTTGGATGTAAAGAGCAAAAACATGCTTGAGTTGTACACAAGTAATTAATGTGCATGGGTGTGTGTGTGTACTTGTTTCTACTACAGAGTGAGGACCATTTGTAACATAGTTACTATCAAAGTGAGGTCTTTGATATAAAGTGAGGACCGTGAAGGAAAAATATCATTCATGGCCAACAGCAGACACCTTGTGCCAGCTTGACCAAAACCAAAGTCTTGTTTCCTTGTACTGGATCTGACTGGTGGGGTCATGGAGGGTCTTCCCAAAACTTTGGACTGGAATTTTTTTAAGATGTCAAAAATTCCATTTGAGTGTCCTAAACAGGGAAAATGTGACTTTTTCCAAAATGAAAGAAATGTAAATTAGAAGCAGCGTTTATCTGGGGGCCCGCTGCTACTCGATCCCCCGGTGGGGTGTGCACCTGGCCGCCAGCGTGCTGGGGGTTCCCGGGGTCTGGGGCTCTGCGCTCGGGATCCCTCTCGGGCCCTTGGGCTCTGGTCCCTATGTCTGCCTCGTGTCTTGGAGGTTGGGTCTCCGATCCTCCACAGTCACTATTAAATATTCCATTGGAGAAATCTTGTATATACACGCATGTTCACAACTGCTCACAAACGGGTGCTCTGATCCGGGGGGTTCTGACTGGTCACTGAGTGTGTGTATATACTGTGTCTGTGTGTGTATATACTGACAATATTTATGAATGTAGGCATGTATGTATGTATATCTTTATATCTATGGGTATGTGTATATATTTATATATGCCCTCCATGTATTTATCCATTTATTTTTAGGTGAGCGGACAGATGTTGGGTGTGTGGTCCTGTGTTTTGTTGGTGTATATTTAATATA